AAATATTTAAATATTATAAATTAATTTAATATTTAAATATATAGAAATTCCTTAATAATATTTTAAATAAGGATAAGGGAAGGTTAAGATTTAAAGCTTTAATGGATTAAGTAAAGCTATTTAGGATTAATAGATAAACCTTAAAGTATTTTAAAAGAGGAATATAATAGAAATACCTTTTTAAAAATAAAGTTTTATATATTTTAAAGTTAATTTATAATAATGGAAATTACTTCTATTTATTTATTATATTAAAAAGATTTAATTAAATAATATATTAATTATATATAACTTAAGATATTATTAATTATATATTTAAATATTTATAATGTATAAAGTTTAACCTAATTAAGTTTAAATTATTTAACCTTTTAATTATAATATATAAGCCCTTTTAAATTTTAATAATGGACTTTATAGGATTATTTATCTTTACTTTTAAAGGAAATTAATATATTTTATATAAAGTTAATATATTTAATTATTATAAATAAGTAATCCTTATAGTATTATATAAAACCTTTATAGCTTTATAAATAATATTAAATTGGAAGGATTAAAATAATATTATATTTTTAATTATTTATTTAAATTTTAATAGTAGGTTCTTTTTAAGAGAATTTAAATATTAAATATAAAAAATAGGAATATATACCTTAAATACCTTATTTAAATCTTATAAAAGTATAAGCATTATAAAGATATTTAATTATATTATATAATTTATCTTTAATAAGCTTTATAATTTTATTTTAAGTATATTAAAAAATTGGAATTTAAAAGTGGTATTAGTTATATAAAGCGTTAACTTTTAATATATAAATTATTTAAGCTTTTTACCTTTTAAAATCCTATATAGATATTTACTTTATAATAAGCTGGAAGTAAAATACTCTTTTATTAAAAATATTACTTTAATAAGCTCCTTTATATTTTTATTATTTAAACTTTTAATTTTAAAAGATTAAAACTTTTAATATTATAATCTAATTTTAAAATATATTATATAAATTTAATAAAAACTTAAAAAGATAAAACAATAATATAAAGATATTTAAATATAAAAATAAACTATTTATAACTATTAAAGTATATTTATTTATATTAATAATTATATAATATTATTATAAAAAGGAAAACTAAAGCTTTTTAAGCTTATATTTAAATAAAAGGAATTATTTTTAATAAAAAAATAAATCAAATATTACTTTTATATTTTATATAATTTAAATAACATTTCTATCCTTTATAAATACCTATTAAATACCTTTAAGTTATTTATTTTATAAATAGATTATTTAAGGATAAAAGAGGACCTTTTATTACTATTTTATTAAAAATTTAAAAAGTAACTAATAATAATTAAGAAAAAAAAAAAAAAAAACCCTTAATATAATAACCTTATTTAAATAAAATAAGTTAAATATTAAAAGAAAAATAATTAAATAATTATATATATAAATAATTAAATAGTTAAAATAAAATAATTTATACTTATTTTATTTTTAAAAGTCCATTCCTTTTTTATAAATACTTTTATTATATATAAATAAATTATTAACTATATTAATATTTAAAATCTTTCCACTTTTAATTTAAATTTTTTACCTTTTTTTTATATTATTTTTATTTATTATTAATCCTTATTATATTTATTTTTATTATACCCCTTTATTATTATTATTTTATATATTATAATATATAATTATATATTAAAATAAACTTTATCTTTATATATAAAGATAAATAATAATAAGGATAAATTAAGTATTAAATTAAAAGATTCCTTTTTAAAATTAAACTTTAATTATAAAATATATTAAATATTTAAATTATTAAATTAAAGATATATAAAAAATATAAAATATATATTAAATTTATCTTAATTTATAAATATTAATAAAGTTATTTTTAATAAGTTTATATTTAAAGGAAAGAATTAAACCTTTTTAAGCTTAAATAAATTAAAAATTAATAAAGCTTTATTTATAAATAAGCTAAATAGAAAAACCTATTAAATATTTATCCTAATATATATAATTAATTTTTAAAAGGATATTAAAATAAATTAAGTAATAAAATATTTATATTATACTTTTATATTTATTAAGTTATTTAATATAATATTATAATTTAAAGTAAAACCTTTTATTTAAATTATTAAGGTTTTAATATTTTAATATAATTAAATATATTATAAAAATATTACCTTTAAATCCTATATTAAGCTAGCTTTTTAAAAAGCTATTAAAATTATTAAAAATTTTAAAAAGAGCTATAGTATATTTTTACCTACATTAAAGGTATTTATATATAATATAGGATTACTATAGCTATTTATTTTAAAGGGATGCTATATTATTTTATTATACTTTATATTATAGTTTAAAGCTGATTTTAATTTTAATGCTTTAAAAAAGGAAAATAAAGCTATTAAAAAGGTTAAAGATCTTAAATAATAAAAGATAACTATTAATAAGAATTTAAATATACTTTTAATACTATTAGAATTATAAAAGTAAATTTAAAATCTTAAGGCTTAAGCGGTAACCTTTAAAAAGAGATCTTAAAAATAAATTTAAAACTTTAAAAATTATATAAATATAATATCCTTTAAAAGAGAACTTAAATTATTCTTTTTATTATTTTAATAATTTACTTTATAAAGTTAATAACCTATTTTATAAATATAATAACTCTTTTAATTATATTAATAATATATTTAAACCTTTTAACCTAAATTAAAAGGAATTACATTTAAATATATATAATTAATATTTAACTATTCTATTAATTATTTAAATAAGATAAGAGTTAAATTAAAATTAAAAGTAAAATATATTTATATTTTAAAAAAAGATTAATAAAAATTAAAAGCTTTTAAAAAGGAAGGTAAAATTCTATTATTAAATAATTTTAAAATAATAAAGGAAATATATAAAATATATTAAGCTATAATTAAATAAATATAAGTTATATTATAAAATAACCTATATAAAGGATTATTTAAAGGAATTATTAAATTATATATAATAATTATTTTTAATAAAGTTTTAATAAAAGAAGCTTTAACTTTATTTTAAAATATAATTAAGTTTATAATAATTATTATTTAACTTTAAATATAAGTTATAATTTAATTAATAATTTAAAAAGTTATAAATTTATAAATTAAATTAATAAAAGTTACAAATAAAAATATAAGTTTAAAAGAATATATAAAAAAGTTAAAATCTTTTTATTCTTTATTTTACTTTATTATTATTTTATTTATAATTATAAAATTATTTATATTTTATATTTAAAGTTAATATACTTTTATAGGTAATTAATTTATTCCTATTAATTTAAAAGGAATATCTTTATTTAAATCCTTATTTTAATTAGTTAAAGCATTTTTATTTAAATTTTAATTAAAATTTAATATTAAATTTAAAGGGAAGAAAAAGGCCATTAATATTAATAATATATAAAATGTTATAAATAATAACTTAATAAAGGATAATAATAAAATATAAATAGGATTTATATATAATTTTATTAAATAAAAATTTTATAATTAAAATAATTTAAAATATATATAAAATAATTCTTATTAAAGTATAAAATATATATATAATTTTATTAAATAGATTTTTTATAATTGGAATAATTTAAAATATAAGTAAAATAGTTTTAATTAAAATATAGGATTTATATATAATTTTATTAAATGGATTTTTTATAATTAAAATAATTTAAAATATAAATAAAATAGTTTTAATTAAAATATAAGATTTATATATAATTTTACTAAATGGATTTTTTATAATTAAAATAATTTAGGATATAAGTAAAATAGTCCTAATTAAAATATAGGATTTATATATAATTTTATTGGATGGATTTTTTAAAATTAAGATGATTTAAAATTTAAGTAAAATAATCCTTATTAAAGTATAGGATTTATATATAGTTTTACTAAATAGAAATTTTATAATTAAGATAAGGTAAAATATAAATAGAATAGTTATAGGAATACGAGTATAATGCTTTTTATTAAATTATAGGATAAGATCTTACGATCCTAGCTTTAGCCTTATATGGGTGTGGGCGCCCAGCCCGATGGGGGGACCAGTTGTGGGACCCACCTTGGACACTATATCTAATTATACCCCTCCCTGGCTACAGTGCTAGCTAGAATTACTTACCAATAACAACTACACCTTTTTGGCTTGCCCGCATTATCTGTAGGTAGGTAGGTACCGGTAGGTAGCAACATGCCCGCTGGCTAGCGAGGTGGCAGGCAGGACAGCAGTGTACCTATCTTGATCATTCATCCAGAATCCAGACAACATCCTCGCACGGCACTACGTCAACTTGCAGTCTTGCACCGAACAGGCATGCAATGCAACGGCCGGGCAGAGCGGGCAAGCACCGTCCGAGCGGGGACGTATCGACGTACCGACGTACCTTCGCGAGGAGCTGTATGTAATAGTTCTAGCGTGGCCCCAGAGGCCTCAGAGCCGCCAATGACACCAGCATTGAATGTCCAGGGCAGACCAGGGGGCAGTACTGGTCCAGGGGTAGAGCAGCCGAGGAGCAGCTTGAGTATATTATCTAGTACTAGCGGGCTCCATAAGTTGGAAGCTACCTACCTAAGGCAGTATCTAGTACCCACCGGAGCTACCTACTGTACTTCTAGCTCGTACCCATGTACCCAAGTGAAGAAGACGCCGTCGTACAAATATGCACCTAGGTGAATACTGAGAACAGCTGGTCAAGTGATCCCCTCAGATTGTGCCCAACCTCTGCTATCAACAGCAGGAAGTGAGCGTGTATAGCGTCATATATAGTATATCTACCTAGGTGCCTAAAGAGGTATGTATGTACCTTGGTGCCTCTGAGTAGGTACCGCTAAGGTTGCTAACCGGTGGGCGCCCAAATAAATACATGTAGGTACCTAGATCGATCGATGGATGACGAAACGTCCCTTGTCGCCCCCCCACTCCAGTGTGTTCGTTTGACCGAGGAATCTGACTAGATTGCTACATCTAAGCTTCATCAAATCTAAGACAGGTAACCAACAGAACATTCATTACTGGTTCGTGTTATGTCTAGCACCCGATGATTGGCTCACAAGAGGGAATTACGACGACAAGGAACCAATACTTGTGGAACATGTATGGAAAATATACACCTGTGTTTATATGGGTATCTATCTGCTTTTCGAGGCAGTGGCAGCTAGAATACGGTATTGTGTGATGCTGTTTCCCGTGTGTCACGACCCACGCCAAAGCCAAACAAGGAAGATCAAAAAGCATTCAAGCCCCAACGCCCGGCTTTCTATATGCCTGCGCCCCATTCATACCAAATCATCGTCACCATACTATATGCCCTGTACTTTCCTGTATGACGGAGGTTTCATCGTCCTCCTGATGACCTTACCTGCGTACGGAGGGATCAGAGAAATTGAGCTGATGGCGAGGACGCGCCACAAGTATCCCCTATTATCATGTCAGCCGCCACTGAAACTCGTGCATCGTCCGGGTTAATATCACACAGTATGCTGCTTACCACGTGGACACGAAGTTAAGATCAAAGTAACCACCCAAGAATGGAATCGAACCAATGTAGAAGAGGAACGTCCCAATGATACATAATATCATCACAAAATGCCATGTTGTGATCTCAATGGCGACCATAAGGAGCTCGTTAAGCACAAGCACCGTGTAGCTCACTGCCACCATCCTCTTCCCGTCGACCTCGGTGAGCACTTGCGACAAGCCCTGTATCACGCTGCCTTGATATATCGAGACCAAAACCCACACGAAAAAGGTGCGATAGGACAAGGATCGACCAGACGTCAGCTCCTTGTACAGCTCGGGATAAAGATTGGCGACATTCTCGTTGACGTCCTTGTCCAACACTAGGGATAGAACTGGTGCTGCTGTATAAACCGTTGCATAGCCCACGAGCAGCCAATCCTATAGGTAATAAGCACATTGGCATTCGGGGTTAGGAAAGAAGTAAAGTACCTTATAGAGACCCTCGGGTTCAAATTTGATGGCGATACTGTACACCGTCTGACAGACGGCAATGATGAGACCACGGTGAATGACGAATTGCGCCAATTTCGCGCTCCGTTTGTAGCTATTACGACCGTGCCATACAAGTAGCTTGGTAAGATGGCAAAAATGATCGATGGAGAAATCTGCAGCCAAGCTAGCTTGCCGTCCTTCTTTGCCCACGATACCAACACCCACGTCTGCAGCTTGGATCATGGATACGTCGTTGCCACCATCGCCGATGCAACATACTCGTTTCCGGGTGAACTCCTTGATTAATCTAGCAACATCCGCCTTCTGGGTGGGAGAGCATCGACATGCCACCACCGTGGGTAATTGCACGGCGACTGATATAAATTCGGTACCAAAGTGTGTAAGGAATAGCGCAAGAGACTCCCCGTCGATAAGCAGGCAGGAATCTGGCTTACTGCGGAGGAAATCGAGATGGTCCTGCGCATTATCCTTGCGCTTCAGTTTGGCGACAGTGTATATATACTGGCCTCTGGCTACTAGTTTGGAACTCACAGCGACGCACCGAGCTGTCTCGACCTTGTCGCCCGTCAACATCCATATCTTGATGCCAGCATTACGTAACAGTTCTAGAGACGGTTTGACGTCTTTCTGTAATTTGTCTTCAACACCAGTGACGCCCAATAGCTCCAGATCATTCTCGAGAAAGTGGGAAACAACATGCTGCATGGCCGCCTCGCGGCTATTGATGGTAAGACCAGCGTCCTGGTAACTGTTGGAGAACTCGTGGTACTGGTCAAGCGAAAGACGCTTACGTCCCACAACCAAGGTTCTCAGACCTTCTCGCGCCATGTTGGACGTTTCCTCATCCAGCCAGTCGTTGGCTGCGACTATGGATCCCATAACAGTGTCAGCGCCCTTCTGGTAGAACCAGATTTCCCCATTACTGAGACTAGGCGAGGATGTATGCTCATTCTGATTAAATTGCACGATGATGCCCATGCGTTTACCATCAGACGTAAATGGGAACACGTCTAATATTCGTACCTGTACAATAGCTTTCCCTGAGTCTGTCGATTCCAAGACCATGCGTTTGCGATCTCGGTATGTTAGTCGAAGACCGACTGACTCTGTCCAGCGAACTATGGCGATTTCGTCCGGTGATGAAGCCTGATATGATGTAATAGTTTGCCCGTCTTCATCTTCCATGGTCGGAGTGACATTGTGACATAACGCTAGTGCTAGTACCACATCTCGCACCCTGGAGCCAATTTCCCGACGGGTTCGGGTCGCTATGGCTCCGGCACCAATGTTATGTGTCGAAGACGCTGTGATTAACAACTGACCATCTGCCTTCAACCCAAAACCTTGCCGTACGTAAGACGCAACCTCGTCCATCGCTTCATTGGCATATGATACGGTACCGACGTGAATCTTCTTCATTTCCATCTCATTTTGCGTCAATGTACCAGTTTTATCGCTCAGTAAGTATTCGATGCGTCCAAGATCTTCTGGTATCGTACTAGTTCTTACTACTGCCCCATGTATGTCCGTGTCTCGCTGGATAAACCAGGAATAAACGCTCTTCCCCAGATCTAAGTTAACCCGAAGGCTAATGGGTACTATAGTGGAGAATAAAACGAGGAAGCGTGTAATTTTGACATACCACACATTTCCTTCGGCGTTGCTAAATCCTTCCAGGGCCACGAGGATAATAGAGAGGGCCAGGGTGAGGGCACACAATATCTTGGTTAGGGAATTGATCTCATATTCTAATAATCCAGTTTTGGATCGAGAGGGTGCTGTCGACAAAGCCGATCGAGTCTGCCGACCTGTATAAACGACAACAGCCATAGTGGTGGCCTGCGAAGCAATGATTGTATTCGCCCACGCCGTGTTATCAATGGACAAAGGGGCAGTTTTGCTAGTATCTGCCATGTCCTCGGAACTGAGTGGATTTGGAACAATTTCAATGGTACCAATAAACTCATTAACCTTCTTGTCCGGCTTCCCACCAGTGACTCTTACGCGGCCAAATTCATGTAAAGGAAGTGACTGTGTAAGAGCAGACGCAACTCGAAGTTTCCAATCCGTTTCTCCATCAAGTTGGTCTGTCCTGATAAATGTCTCCCCGGATGAGCTCCCTTCGGAAGCTTGTGAGCTGTCTTGAGCTCTCACTTTGTTGTGTATATCTGCCGAATTGTTGTCTTCGGGGTAGTCCATATCGGTATCTACCAATAAGACATTTGGGTCCGCTCCTGGGTTGTGGTCCTGTAAAGTTTCCGATGTCGAGCATTGCAAGATAACGACATCGGCCGGTACACGTTGGCCTTTGCTCAGCTTCAAAATGTCGCCAACCTTTAAATCGCGGGATTTTTTGCTGACTTGGAGGACTTGGGGTGGTGTCTGATTCAACCCTTCGCCCTCGATTTGTTCTTCCTCATGGTTGATTTCCGATAACCTATCCCGCCGGGTCGACGGTGCTTGGCGACGGTTTCGCAACGATGACGGCACTGACTTCTTTGCAGAGCTATAGTGTGCGGCCGATTGAGCTACGCTGTCTAAGCTAAGGACAGTATAAGCCTCCGAGTTCGCTTCGTTATCTCTACGACGTCTCTCTATATCGTCATATGCCTCCTTTCCCATCGTTATAACAAGAACAAAGGCCAGCGGGGCGATGTAGGTAGATAGGTAACCTATTCGCAGGGCTGGAATAGCTTGTGACAATGCAACGAGTAGAAAATAGAGGTTGAAGAAAAAGGAAAACTCGTTATAGAGAGTAACAGGGAGAAATGTGAGTGCAGTGTACTTGGCATTAGAAACAATATTCGGCGGATAGCGGGTCGTCTGAATCGAGCCTACAGCAACAATTCTAGAGGCCGAAGGGTCATCAAGCTCCTGGTTATCGCCATCGTCGTCGATACCGTCGCCGTCGCCGCCTTGCCGACGTGTGCTATGACTGGACATAAAGCGAGGAACTTTCAGACTCGAGCGCATCAGAGCAAGCCCACGAAGGCCGCCAGCGCCGGGACGTTGTCGTGGGCGGGTATGCTGTTCGCGTAAAAGAGGCGCATCATCACCGACAGTTGCACTTCCGTCCGAGAACCGCTGATCTTGGACCTCGTCATCTGTCAGAGACAGGAAATCCTCACCACCGGTCTCATCTCGGCGGCCAAGCTCGCCATACCCATGACTTCGTTTGGCGGATCTCCTCAAGCCACTCATTCGAAGATTTCGAAGGGCAATTGGTGGTGCTCTTTGTTCGTGCCTCGTTGAGTGTACACCTAGAAGCCTGGAGCCATGGGCGTGGGCCGATGACGTAGCAGGATCCAGCTCGTCCAGGTCGAGATCGAGGTCGGCATCCGAATCGGGATCGATGCGAGGAGAATCGGGCGGCTCGGTTGGGTGGTAGGGAGGTGTGAGCGGCATTCCCGCATCGAAGTCATGCGCCCGGATGACGACTTTGGAGGATGTTTGGAGCTCGGATTGTATGGATAGGGATAGAAGAAAATGTCAACCTTTATGTAGCCTAGTAAGTGTCGTGGTTTTGCGCAGTCAGCGATCGTTGCGGTATAGGTAGGGACTGATCACAAGTACGGGGAGGCTGTCAAGAAGCCCAGGGACAGTTGCGCTTCGGCTTGTCAAGATGCTAATAGAAAAGGTGAACGAAGTACGTCCTAAACAGTCGAAGTGGAAGTGGTAAGTGGCACAATAAATTGCTTCTTCGGTTTCTTTGGAGAGGAATAAGTACGAAATGATCATCACATAATGAAACAAGCAGGCGGTCGTGGAAGCAAAATAGGCATCTAGGATCTCAAGGTCAAAACTCACGCGTGTCCAAAATGCCATGTTACTCCGTGAGTACCTCTCACTGTCGGTGCCTAGAGGTACCTACCTGACTGCACTAAAGGGACCCCCTACCCCACATTCAATAGGATACCTAAGGTACCTAAGTACACCACTTATTTAGTTAGCTATGGCCACCATAGTCGCCTCGCTTCAAAAGGATCACATAGGGAGTCTTGGCGAATTTTATTGTAACATTCTCTCAGTCCCTCAGTCCCTCCTCAGAAGAGCATCAAAGATAGAAGCAACCGGTAAACACAAGGCAGATGATTTCTCTCCACAGTAACATGAACATGAAACCAAGAGACACTGACCAACAACACTTATTCCTGATTCAACCCGGTATGCTCATTACAAACCCAACTGCCTATGTAGTCGATGGCACAATTGCCAAGTTGAGGCTGCTTTCTGTGTGTCATGCCACCGAGAACGGTGAAGTTGTTATGATTGTCACGATGTAGTAAAATTTCTTATTTCCCACCAGCTGAGGGCTCGCCACCGCTGAGCGAGCGAGCAGCTCGTTGCCGCTGAATGCGTTCTGATCTTTTCGCATCGTATAATTATCTGCGCCTACCGGTACCTTTTTTACCCTTGTCATTCCTACTGAGCTGTGCGTCAGCAATGTGAGAGTCTCGCTTCTTTTCGAACCATCGCCTTGAATCGGGTATCGACGCGCCGCCTCTCATCTTTACCTGCCAAGTTCATCCAAAGGGAGATCCGCCTCATCTCTGCCTACAATCGCGTTTGCAACCTTCCAGACTTGAAGCATATTGTCTTCAGCCGCGCTGGCCACTAACCACGGTTCATTACGGTTCCAGCTGAAATCTGCCAGGTGGTTGGTATGGCCACCATGCATGAATAACCTAGGTGGGATATCAATTAGCTTGCCATGTGTAGTTAGGATTATTCAGTTGCCAACACTCACAGTTCGGGAGGTCCATCCTCCTGGTCATCAGGCTGCTGTTCCTCGCCCACCCGGCTGAGATCCCAGAAGATCATCCGTCGGTCATAGCTAGCGCTTCCTAGGATGCCAGCCTCGTGTGGGTGCCAGGAAAGTGATGTGACGGCATCCTGATGGCCTTCGAGAGTATGCACCTTCTCCTTAACGTTGCGCAAATCCCAGATCCCAATAGTCTTATCTGCCGATGCAGTAGCTACCAAGACCTCAGTAGACGGATTAAACGCCAGTGCGTTGATAGCGTCACTATGCCCATTTTTCGCAGTCAGGGACGACTGAGACGTAGATGACTGCCGCACATCCAGTATTTGTAGGGTCAAATCGTCGGAGACGCTACCGATGAAGTGGCGGGATATGGGATGATATTGAACATCGTTAACAATGTTGGAATGATGTGTGTAGCGACGGGAAGGATCCAACGTGTTTTTGCCGCTTTCAAGTGATTGAAGATCCCTAGCGGCAGCATCAGTATGAACGAACGACTGAATATAGCAAGAGTAGGGCAGAAACGTACCAGAGGCAAACGGTCTGGTCTTCACTTCCCGACGCTAATGAGCCCTCAACATGAGGATTCCAATCAAGTCCGAAGCCTTCCTGGCTATGGCCTTGTAGCTTAATTTGAGGGTTAACCTGGCCATTTGGCTCCGAGCTGTGCTTAGTTCTATCAAAAATGAGAATAGAGCCATCAACTGCCAAAGTAGCAATCAGGTCAGGATTCTGCGGACAATAACGGGCTTTGTTGACTTCACCCGGATGGTCAATTCGTTGCACAACTTTGAACCTCATTGCAGCGGTATCGGCAGAGGCAGATGCCTTGCCATATCCACCGATCTCACCCCGGTCGTCATCGTAGTCGCGGGCATTAGGGCTAATATTGTTAGGAACCTCGACTTCCGCAATTTGAACGTGATTGGGCTTCCCATCCGAGGTGTGTGTCCCTATCAGCAGACGGTGGATGCGACGCTCCTTGCCTTCGGGCTCCTTAACGTCCGGGAACCACTGAACCGTTAGTGTAGGCCAAGGCAGGGCGTGGCTGTTCGACGGTATCAGCATGTAGACGAATTGGTTGTAGAGGCCGAGCTTAGCAAGGCATGAGACATACCTTAATATCATATCGTAAAGGAAGGGCGAGTTCTTCTTCCACGTTTTGTACTCTAGGTCGTGGTCAATGGATGCGGTAAGATTAGGTAGAGTGAATGTCAATACCTTCATTGACCAGTCTCTGCTCCTCGTCCTCTCCATACTCCTGGCCATTTGATTCCACTGGGAATGAGCACCGTTAGCATGGGACTGTCCAAGATGACGACGGTATGAGCTTACAGTCGTACTCGTCTGCAACGGGTGCAGGCGCCATGTTGGTCGAAGGAAGGATGCTGTCTCTCGACTCAGAAGATGGGTTGAAATCGGAGGCAGAAGTAGCGGTACAGGTAGAGGGCCAGGCTGCAGTAGGTATACCCAATAATGCCTACCTACCTAACCGTGTGATGCTGTAGTAGGTAGTGGACTTCGAGGTTTGCGAAAGTAGCAGGTTAGATACCTAGGTATGTACATATCTACCGCGAAAGATGAGGTTGACGCGGTTCGCGTAAAGTGGTTGCGCTTCAGAAAGGAAGCCAATCAGAGCAAGGACGGTGGTTCTAGCTAGAGCTAACAGCACGAGGTACCTACATATGTACCTACCTAGGTAGTGGAAACCAGCGTGATGTAGGGAAGTGCATACATACCTATCAGCTAGGCACCTAGGAGGTACCTGTGTTTTAAGGCGAGGCAACAGGCCGCCGGCTGCCCACTTGCTCGCCTACTCACTTCCAATCTCCCCACACTTACCTCAGTATCCGTCAACACTCGACTTTTTGTTTTACATCTTCTTGTATTGTCTATACCCTTAGACTCTGAAGAACCTGGGTGCATTGTCTTGCTCGCCTCTTTAAGCGTGCGCTGTTCAGCCTAACCCCGTGTAGTCCGCCGTACCAATGAGCTTTCCCTCTTCGTTCTGTTATATGTAGTTTGCGACCGAGGCTCTCTCTCAGTCTTGCTTCTTCTTCTTCTTCTTCTTAGCCGTCATTGTGACATTGTTGTGCGAGCGCGAAACCGGCGGACAAGGCTTCGTATGTCTGACCCAACACCTCCTATCGCATACTAAGGTGCTAGCTTGTACTGGATGTACGCATTGCCGAGCTAACCCACCCACCTCTCCAGCACTTTTCCTGTGTAATAAGGTAGAGAGAGCTCGATTCGGCGCCAGGTTCGCTTTCCACCACCTTGACGCTGTCGCATGTATACAAGCGCTTCGTCTACCTAAGCTACAGGCTCCAGACTCAACACTTTCGGGATCACAACCACCGCCGTCATGGGGTTCGTTTCAATGTTCCCTATCTCCCATATACGAATCTCTAATTGTTGACTGACCCCCCATAGCGTTCCTAAATTCTTCAGATGGCTCTCCGAGCGCTATCCCGCCATATCTCAGCTCATTGCCGAGAATCGAATACCTGAATTCGACAATCTATATGTGCGCCCGGCCCTAGCCTCTATATTACTACCCTCCCTGCTGACCTGTGTAGTTGGACATGAACGGCATCATTCACAACTGTACTCACAAGGACTCTTCGGATGCCTCCTTTCGACTTAGCGAGGATGAGATGTTCATCCGTATATTCAACTATATCGAACATCTTTTTGGGAAGATCAAACCAAAAAAACTCTTCTTCATGGCGATCGACGGTGTTGCCCCTAGAGCTAAGATGAATCAACAAAGAGCCCGCCGATTCCGTACCGCTCTAGATGCTGAGCAGGCTCGTGAAAAGGCCATCCGCGAAGGCCAGGAGCTACCTAAGGAAGACCCCTTTGACAGCAACTGCATCACTCCTGGTACTGAATTCATGGCGAAGCTCACCCGCCAGCTGAAATACTTCATCAACAAAAAGATATCCGAAGATTCGGACTGGCAGGGCTGTGATATCGTTCTATCAGGCCACGAGGTCCCTGGCGAGGGCGAGCACAAGATCATGGAATACATAAGAAATGCCAAAGCACAACCCGATTATCACCCTAATGTTCGTCATTGCCTTTACGGTCTCGACGCCGATCTCATTATGCTCGGTCTCCTCAGCCATGATCCGCATTTCTGTCTCCTCCGAGAAGAGGTTACTTTTGGCCGCGCGTCGAAGACCAAGTCAAAAGAGTTGGAGCACCAGAATTTTTATCTCCTACATCTTTGCATCGTTCGCGAATATCTCGAATTAGAATTCCAGGAATTGAAAAAAGATGGCGCTTTGAAGATGCCTTTTGATATGGAAAGAATTATAGATGATTTTATCCTCATGGCCTTCTTTGTTGGAAACGACTTTCTTCCAAATCTTCCATACCTTCACATCAACGAAGGTGCATTAGCAACTATGTTTCGTATCTATAAACAGGTCCTTCCACAGTGTGAGGGGTATATCAACGAGGAGGGTGTAATCAACCTGGCTCGACTAAAGTTACTATTAGACGAACTGTCCAGGGAAGAATACCGACACTTTGAGCACGAATACTCTGACTCAAAGTGGCTTAGGAGCAAACAAGCGGCAGACACGAATGGGCATGATTCTACGAAAATGAAGGGAAAACTAGTGATGGCAAGCTCGCAGAAAGAACTTTGGAAACAGATCCGCAAGTTCGTAACCAAGCGATCCCAAGGTTCACTAAACTTAGGTCATCATCTGATCGCTGCGGATCGCAAATTTGTGCAGGATGCTGCAGAGAACTTGCATATAGAGTGGCATACTATTCAAAACGATGATGGTCAAAGAGACATAATCTTAGAATATCCCTCTAAGGCCAGAGTGCCTGATGGGGACGATGGGGACGAAGACGACGAAGACGAAAACGAGGAGGGGCACCTCGCACTGCTTCGGGTGGTGAAGCGTTATGACAACGCCCAGGTCGTTGACTTATCGGCGGAAGAAGCCCGAGCGACTCTACAGCGTAAATACGACGAAAAGTTTGCGGAATGGAAGGATTCATACTATGAGGAAAAGTTCCATTGGCCAGCTGAGGTTAAAGGATCGGAATTGGTGAAGCTAAGCGAGAATTACGTTCAGGGATTGCAGTGGGTTTTATACTATTACTATCGCGGGGTGGCATCATGGCCTTGGTACTATAAATATCATTATTCTCCCATGACTTCAGGTAAGTTTCTCCGCCATCATAGCCCACACGCAAATTCACGACTAATCCGTCATTGTAGACATTTCGAAGGGGTTCAATGCGGATCTCAACTTCAAACTTGGGCAGCCCTTTCGACCATTTGAGCAATTAATGGGAGTTCTGCCTGACAGAAGCAAGAAAATCGTACCATCTGTGTACCATGAACTCATGACCAACCTTGATTCTCCGATAATCGACTTCTATCCACGAGATTTTGAATTGGACATGAACGGGAAGAAGATGGAATGGGAAGCCGTTGTTAAAATTCCCTTCATTCAAGAGAGTCGACTCCTCTCTGCCATGGCCCCTTGCAACGATCTTCTTTCCCAAGAGGAAAAGGCCAGAAATGATTTTGGCGTTTCTCTCAAATTTACTTACGACCCAGGCGTAAATTTCACATACCCTTCATCCATGGTTGGCATTTTCCCAGATATTCCGAATTGTCGGTGTGTCGAGAATATTTTTGACCTTCCTGTGGCCGAGGGTCTGGACCTATATGTCGGCCTTGTGGATGGAGCAAAAACAGGGGCAGCCGCATTGGCTGGATTCCCAAGCCTCGCCACACTTCCGTACAACGCAATGCTTGGGTTTCATGGTGTCAATGTCTTCCAACAGGAAAGTCGCAACGAGAGTATGGTGGTCACATTATCCAATACGGATGCACGATCCAGGATAGATCTAGCAAAAGTTAAACTAGGTCTGATATGTCATGTCGGCTATCCCTTTTTACAGGAAGCGAGAATTATTCGCGTCTCCGATGAGTTGTTTGATTATACTCTCGATTCAAATAACTCGGGGCAGGTTATCGAACATCACCACTCGGGCAGAGACATTGAAGAGTGGAACAAGAAGGCTACGCGCATTGAGAATTTCTACAGCAAACGGCTAGGGATCATCACTGGCCCTGTTGAATCTCTCGTTCACGTTGAGATGCTAAGAGGGCTTGCGAAGACAGACGACGGCGCGACCATTAAGGCTTATGGTACCATACCCGGCATGGAAACCGACTATGCGCTGCAGGTTATTGTTGATGAGGTTATCAGTCCCGATGAGAGATTCATTGAGCGAGCTGCTGTTCCTATCGAGGAGGAGTTTCCAGTAGGAACTCACGCTTTCTTCCTAGGTGAATTCGCTTATGGACGCCCCCTAGAAGTCACCGGGCATGCGGACAATAAGGCCGCCATTGTCGTATCGGTCATTGGTAAAGAACCAGAATTCGCTCGGCAGATCATCAATCGCGCAGAGCATCAAAGCGGCTACAAGCCATCTTTTGCTGTGGCCAAAGACCTTGGTCTTCACCCTCTGGTCCTGAGTAAGATCACATCTTCTTTCTACGTTTACACTGTAGGTGGCAACATGAAAGTTAATTTGGGGCTGAACCTCAAATTTGAAGGAAAAAAGCAGAAGGTGTTAGGTTACTCCCGGAAGTCAAACTCCGGTTGGGAATTCAGCCCTTCAGCAATCGTCCTGCTTGTACAATATATGACCCAGTTCCCTGACTTCTTTGCTGCTATTTTACGGAATCCATCAGGGAGCGAGTTAAGTGACACGGATCTATGGTCAGACCCCGACGTCGCGAGCGCGAGGGTCAAAGAAATTGGCGCCTGGCTTAAGACGATTGAGACAAGCAAGTTTGAGCGAGTACCACTCGATGCTCAACAACTAGATTCAGAAGTCGTAATGGAACTTCAGAAAGCATCTGATGCCCTAAGGGATTCCGATGTCAAGACCAACCGTAAGAAGATGACGGGTGTTCCTCGATCCGCTCTGCTTCATCCTAAGGATTCAGAACAGAGACTTGGTCACCAGACATTTAAGCTCGGCGATCGGGCTGTTTACGTACAGGCCTCAGGCAAAGTTCCCATCGCTGCCAGAGGAACAATTATCGGTGTCAGTACAGTGGGCAACCACCACATGCTTGACATCCTCTGGGACAATGCTTTCATGAACGGCACGACCCTCAACGGTCGCTGTGAACCATTTCGCGGGCAAACAGTTTCGGCCAACTCGGTACTTAATGTGTCTCAGAAACAATTGATTATCGACTCCAAATCCAGCATGGAAAGACGGCCTACACAGGCTCCTCTGGCAGCAAACGGATATGGTGCATCGACTGGTCATCAACTCCGTGACGCTACCACTCCTAGGCCTCTTCAGGGTAGCTGGCGCGGGGCCGTCAGCAGCGGTAACCGCCACGTCCCTAACGGGCGAGGCAGCCCATCACAGCGTGGTCCCAGAAATTCTGTGCCTCATCTCCAGCACAGCAGCCTCGTATACAGACCACACCCAGATGGACATAAACCAATTACCAACGGACAACATGCTCAGGCCCACAATGGTGCGCAAGGGGGCCGGGCCAGTCGGGGTGGCCGTGGTGGTAGAGGCATGAGAGGTGGAGGGGCCAGTAGAACCGAACCGTTTGTTCAAAACACATCAGCATCCATGACAGCACAATTCTCCACGGTCTCTTCCAGTGATGGTCAGGTTCCGCAGTCCTACAACGCCGTACCACCACCTGCAGGACTTCATTCCCGCAGTGGCGGGCGCGGTCGGGCTCGTGGCCGCGGACAAGGAAGGGGTCGCGGGCGTGGCAACGAATGAGATGGCATATGCCTGCAGTGTGCCTGGTGAATGGGGCTAATAAGCAGTATGGTGTGACCTCGGCCTTCCCACCTGTTTAAACGCAGAGGGTAGGCTTCTGAGGGGTTAACAAACAACATCAGCGCCCCGAATGTGCGAGCTTGACGCCGTCTACAATATGTCCCAGTACTTCGCTTTTTCATAACATCAGATTAGCAAGATTCACGTGCCGCTTCGAAGATGTATAGCACGGTATTCATGTCGTTGTGCCAATCAGCTATGGTAGCTAAATGACGAAGTTATACAGAATATGATACGGGAAACAATGTATTATAGGAAATTAGCATTCGCAGCTAGGACCAACCACAAGGGGGTCGAGATACCAGCCAATTCAGCGAGAAAGTTAGACTCGTAAGTAGACTATGCAAAGATATGCCGACGCAGTGAAAGTGGGTGAATACCTCTCAACATACTATCGCTGTACACCATATTCCTCGATTTCTTAATTGTCACTAAATCAACTATAACGTCCTCTCCACATAGTCTACCATATACATCACAAGAATGAGTGTGGTTTGGCCTAACTGCTCCCAACAAAAATATGAAGATTTAGAGTCCACCTCCCGCCAGACGCTATTTGTTTGAATGGTCCTTAGACGTGTCAGCTTCTTGCCGTTGTCGGCCGGCGCCTCCATGTTAATGAATTCGCTGTGCGCCTCGGCGATGACGAATTGCCCATGGCAATGCAAATGCCATGATAGAAGCTACGTTCTAGGCTTAAAAGTCATGATATTGACCATTTCACCTAGGGAACCAAAGAAAGACATGTCCGTGGTATGTAGTTGAAGAACCTCGCTTTCATTAAATACGATTCACGGGATCCTAGAGAGACATCGCCTATGCTCCCACCTGGGGATAGCGTCACAGGAAGGTACAGATAAGCGCAGCGAACATGCCGTAAATGAGAGGGAAGGAACGTGTGATGGATAAGGAAGGGTAGGTGGGCCGGGGTATGTGCATCCTCGTGCCCTTCAGCGCATCTCCGGTCGTAAAGAAAGATCTCATGCATACACGTAAGACATAGATAAATACGATAGGTCGTTGTTGAGTGAACAGGTGACGGTGTGGTGAGATCCACTACTGAGAGCTATTAAATTAACATGCAAAGGAGCCGATAAGCGAAAACCAATTCGCACAATCGAGGTAGATCTAGGATAACCAGTGTAGCGAATGTCCTTTTTTTATCAGACTCACTGGTTGGGATATGCAATGGTGACTCGCTGAAGCCTCTTCTGAATCGGGCTGCCGTTTTACTTGAAAGCTTCATCATTCCACCTATCTATCGCCTCTCTTCGCCGCGAACTCCATTGCTGTGCTGTGTGCTGCAGTCTTCATTACAGAATCTCAACCTAGGCGCAGGCCAAATTCACAAGATCATCTGGCAGGGAGCGGTCAAAAGCGAGCGAGGGAGCATCCACCACCGAGGTGTGATTTAAAGAGGAATGAAAGAGCTGTCCTAGGGAGCCAAACAAAGCCGTAACGCACCGCTATTCCTTCAAACCGGAGCCAGACAGCCAGCCAGCCAACCAACCCACCCCGACTCCTTAAATCATCCATCAAGGCCATTTTAAGCCTGCCACCCGTGTGACTATCTTTAGAGGGCAAAGAAAATGGGGATAAAATGGATTTGATGTGAAGATGGTTGTTTTTTAAACATAGGAGAACAGTATGAGAAAAAACGCGGCAACAAGATACAAACACATGAATTGAAAACATGGGTGCAGATAGGCACGGAGGGGCCAGGTGAACGAAAAGATAGAGAGGAATAAGTAATGCAAGAAAATATGTAATAGAAAAAGTACCATGGTAGAAAATCGAAATACGAGAACTCGAGCCATCAACTCTGGGGGAAGATCAGGAACACAACCCAGACACATTCCTTTCACTCCCTGCGCTATGCCACCGTTCAAGCCCAGCCCTGCTACAAATTTCCAGTCATGTACAAGTTCCGTCCGTCTAGGTCGAAGTGCTAAAGTGTATGCCAGGTGCTTGTTGTGAAAGATGCACATAAAGGCCGCGATGCCGTCAAACCACCTATTTACCTCCTTACCATGTCCGTACCGGAAGAGGCCTCTGCCGGTTTATTTTTTCTTTCCAACTCCCACTAAAACATCCCATTACAATTTGGTTGAGACTTATCCATCTTTGTCGAAGATGTATTGTATCCCAGGTGTCCAATCCGTGACCATGAGAGTGTGCCAAAGGGAACCACATCATTTATATACTTTTCTTTTAACAGTTAGCTTTCGAGATGCGCTTATGAATAAAGGCTATGTATTAGTGTGAAGGGTCCAAGGCCCACGGCTTCGAGCACTTTCGTTATAACAGTTGAAGCGCATCTCGATGGTATGCTTATCCAACTATTTAAGCTGGCGATTTGCTAGGAGGCGCACCGGCGCCATTCTGACGAGCATCACCGCCGCTCACAGAGAGCCCACCCATACCCGAGGACAGAAAGGCAAAAGGGTCGTTCTCTGATTGTCCCGCATAGAAGTTGCCGCTGTTGTTATTGCTGTTGTTCGATGGACCGGCAGGAGCAGGACCATTGCCAGCCGCTTGAAAGGCAGCCTCGGCAGCTCGACTATCAAAAGGGGCGGATGGGTGAGATCCTGGAGCCGGGCCAAAATGCGTATTTAGAGACGGGTAGGGCGTAGCGCCTCCACCGATGCCCGACGGTAGCGCATATGTACTGGGCGGTCCGCCAAAATGCTGGCCGTAATTACCAGAAGCTCCAAAGGGGCCGCCAGCCGAAGCAAATGGCGGGGGCCCTGGTGTGCCACCCATGGAACCTGATCCCATGCCATAGGTAGAACCACCATCCATAGGTGACGGATAACCCGAATCGGCCACCATGGCAGCGCCAGCTCGACTTGAACCACACCGCAGGCAGCATACGTTCTTCGCAAAGTTGTGGTAACCACAGACTTCGTTACCACATTTCCAATCTCCAGCTCGGAAGGGAACGGGGCCACTACCACCCATGCGACCACCACCATGGCCCATGTTTCCATGGTGTCCACCATGATGAGGAGGCGCTATCATGGCCGGTGGTCCATAACCATAGCCATAACCCATCTCCCCCTGAGGCCCAGCATTCATTGCAGGGTACGAGCATCGGAAGCAGGCAGTCCGTCGCTGGAAATTAGAGAAGCCGCATGATGGGCAAGTCCAATCACCGGGACGCGGTCGGTTCTTACTCGGAGGGAAAGGGGTAAGGACTTCAGCAGCACGATCAAGCACGCGGCTTGAGGATGGAGAAACTTCAATAGCTTTCTCATTGAGGGCGCGCCCATTCATACATAGACTCTCAGCAGCCTTGAATTAGCACAGTTAGTGACAGAACATGTCAAGACATATTACTCGGCATCGTGGAGGAGAAAGAAGTCTATAGATGAAGGGGAAAGATGGGGGGTGGGTCGAAAGACAAGCTACCTCCGTGATAGACTAGTCTTGGGGCTACTGACCTCTTCATGGGATGAGAAGACAGCGAAGCCTGTTCCCGTGGGCTTATGTTGTTCGGGAGTGCGTAGTGTCCAGAAAGCGATGGGCCTGCCACCAAATTGGGTGAACCAGCTCTCCAGCTCTGATTGAGTAGTGTCGTGTGGTAGGCCAGACATGTGCAACACCTTACTCCTTTCTGACAAAAAGGCGCGTACATCGGCACGAGCGTCCATAGGGCGGCTAAGAACATCAGGATGCTCCTGGAGCGGCTGAGATTTTCTAATCAGGCCGCGGAGAACCCGAGCGAGTGTCACAGCCTCTTCCATGGCCCTACGTGGCGAAGCAGGGGCAAGAGCTTGCAGATGAAAGGGTAAGTTATGTTTGATCGGAGCACTGGACTGCACAGGCTCAACTTCGAGGGCGGCGCATATATTGGAGAGCATGGAAGGACCAAAGGGTAAAGACTCGGGATGATGTTGTTGCCAACGTTGATATTCGGTTCGCAGGTCGAAGGTGCGAGAGTGCTGCAAGTATGGAGGGAGCACAACAGCTTTGTCGCGAGCTTCACGGGGCAATTGCACACGAAGATCCCAGGCGTCAAGGGTGACGAAGACGAAGTCGAGGTTTTGAGAAGTTAGATGCTCTGAGGCGAAGGCATCGAAGCGGTTGATTGCATCGCGGAAAGTACCGGCATTTCGCACATGCTCCCACGTCAAAGTTGTAAGGCTCGCTACAGTGAAGAAATTCATCCACAGTCAGCTACCAAGCTCACATCTTCGCTATCGCCCCAGGTTATCGACTTTGAGGTGACTCACTGCAGAGGGGGGTAATTGGAGTGTTGATGGGCTTCACAAGCACACTTTCACGGTGTATCTACGGGATGAGAAAGCCGTAGTTAGCGAGATTCATCGATCCAGTAGGGATTGAGAAAGAAGCGTAATACCTCGTCAAGCGATTTAGCATCGAGCAGGATCCAGCCGAGCTCGATAACTTCGGCAGAGTCCTTGGTCACATAGACGCCATGTTCGTCGCATGTAGTCGCAACATGAATAACGACGTACCGCTCGGCGTGAGAGGATGGCGTCGTTTGATTCGACATATTTGGAGCGACCAATATTTGTGCTTGAAGTTGCCTGTATCGATAGAAAGATAACAATAAGTTGAAGATACTGACGGTGCTCGAATACTGGAGATGCGAGAGAAGCCGACGGGATAAGCGGGCTATTGCTCGAAGATTTTTACCCAAAGATCGAGACAAACAGACACACAAGCCTAACCGTCGATTGTCAAATGCCGTAGGAAGAAGGATAAGGCGGGACCAAAAAAAGTGTAACTAGGATACTGATAATCTCGGTTAGGCGGAACGAGCAAGAACATGCACAAGGTACCTAATATGCTTGCTGGCGTATGTGTCGTATGTGTCGATGCCCTCTCTTGGTTGGGTATCCTTCCCTCTCTCCTGTCACACTTGGCTCTTTTTTTATTCTATTTATTTATCCCTTTCTAGGAGAACGAACGACGGACCTCGGCTCACACTCGAAACCTGAAAGGAGAGGATGTTGAGGAAAGCTTTTCTTGAACAGAAAAGGGGGGTGCTAAGAGAAGTAAAGGGAGGAACAATGAGGCCCGGTAGGCGGCTTAGTCGGTTTTCCGAGCTCAGCGCTCAGGGGCGATGAGGATATAAAAGACGGGTCGGGCCGGGATCTGCCAGGCGGTGATGCAGGCGGTGATGCAAGTAAATCCTTATATCCCTTATTCAGACGGCGACGGTGGGTGCGATGGGACGGGTCGGCCAGGAGAGACGGGGACGATGGAGGGGGTGAAATCGGGGGGAGGAGATGGAAACGGGGTCGTTGACGGGGAAGGAGGGCGACGGTTTAGGTGGAAGCCGGAACGACGCGAGTTGTGAGTGAGGAAGAGGCCCCGGGTACGATTGTCGGTTGTAGAAACACAGACAGGTACCACGAGAAAAGCGATGACTTGTTGGTTTTTTGAGAGTGGTCTGCTTTTGCAAGCTAAGCCGCGAGTAAAAGAGCTAGGGAGGTACCTAGATTAGCGGTACCTATCCTATGGACTAGCAGTGAGCACCCCCTACCTCCGTACCTTATGTAGGTACCTAGGTTAAGGGTTAAGCAGTTAAGCACTTGGGGTAGGTGCCTAGGTACGTAGTAGATATACCCCCCTAGGTACCTACATATGTACATTAAATACTGTAGTTGGTGGTATAAAGTCTGGACAGGTGCCAGACACCTGCGATTTGATCTGCCAGAGGTAAGTACGTTAGCTAAGTACATATATGTAGGTAGATTACCTAGGTACCCTACGTACCTACTGTAGATATAAGGTCCTACAGGTAGTAGTCATTAATAAACAGCTCTTCCTGTGAACCTAGGTATCACTCACTTGCGCAATACCTAGTACTCAGTGGTCAGTGGAAGGTACCTAGGTAGTCAGTTAATTGGATAAAACGATCAATACCTGGGGTCTTAAGTTAAATATGTACCTACCTGACCTTTGCTCCCGTCTTTCATGAGGCACTAGTTGCCTACTACGTCATTGCCATCCCCCCCCGAGCGCCCTTCCTCCTCCATCAAAGCTCGACCATGTCAACATCAAGGTACGCCGAGTCGTGCGAGATGTGATATGGAGTTAGGTACTGCATGCACCATCGATGTTGCACATGAATAAAACAGGCATCGGGGACCTTGGGTTCCGCCTATTCGATTCTTACGGGCATGGCCTGCCCAATTAGCGTATGCATACAAGTACCGGTAGGTGAGTCGATGGGGGAGTCACCGAGGGCCTTGGGGAGTAGGTAGGCACGTCATGAAATCATAGGTAATAGACCTACCTACCTTGCCTACATCTTTGTCCGTTATCATACTAGGTACTGTCAAAAGACCTACTATAAAACCTAACCCTCCCCCCGCGCCATCGTACACCCACATTAGAATCGTCTACAAACATCACGTCCCCATTACACTTGTGGCTTGATGTACCTTCTCCTTATCCGCCGGGGAAACAGTCTGGGCCTTTACATCTCTCCAACCCAACCTGAGGCGTCTCTATCTTGATTATCTCGACAAAGATGGGGGCCGTGTCAGCTGTTCTTGTGGTTCTGATCACTATTCTCTGTGTGTATCTATCTATCCATAAGCACCCATCGCCGTGTGCAAGAAACGGATGTTGGCTAATGCTATCAAGTTCCGCCTGCCGGTGTCGCCATCGTAGCCGGATGTGGCGCCGACCTATTCATCAATATCGCACTCACCATCCTCGGGTATGTCCAGCTGCAAGCAAATACGCGTAGGCGAAGAGTTAACAAGTCATGCTAGATACATTCCCGGTCACATTCATGCGTTCTACGTTGAGTACGTCTACTACGACCGCCGCGAGCAAGTGAGAGAAGGACGTCTGGCAGCTAGACGGGCGCCGGGCGTGTACAGTGATCGCGTTCAGACAGGTGGACAAGGCTACGGCACTATAGTCCAGCCTACCAGCAATCATTACTGAGGGGCGGCGTCGCACCGCTTCGTCCCGCTGTCAGATGGGAACCAACCAGGCTTTGAAATTTGGTTGCCGGTTGGGATTTGGCATAGGTATCATTATTTGGGGATAGCCCGGATAGGTATGCTTATGCAACAATTAAATTGTACCTGGACGCTACCAAATACTCACTAGTACCATGCTCGGTTACATGTAGGTAGTTTTGATTTATGCCACAACTACATGTAGTATTTGATGTCTGGTCGGCTACTCAATTTTCTCATTGTGAAATACCTCATTTCAACCTACCTAGTTGAGCATGCAGTTGAATTGTAATGACTAGTGGGATGAAAAGGAGCCCCTCCCCCGCCAAAATGGCGCAGGGCTACCTCCTTCGTAGGTTCGGGGCTGACAATGGACAAATTGACCAGACCAGTCAATCCAGCCATTTGGAGGAGACCACGAATTTTGTAGGCCACAACCGGCGTCAACGTGGCAGGGAGGCGACGACGGCCCCAATTCTCCCGCTCTCAACTAGACATGGTCCCCATTTTTCCCGGCTCTATCGTATGATATTCAAAGCACTTCTTGTCTCTACTAGCCCAGACATCGCATGGTTCCAGACCACGGCCACGTGGGAATGCACACTAAGTAACTTCGGCTGCCTAGGGATGTTGACCTCTGGACTTGGACTTGGAGCCTACAAGACGGCATAGGTAATCCCCGTGTCTAACTCAGTGCCAGTCCATGCCATTGCATTTTGAATTGTAGGCGTACTTTCGAGCGATATGCATTTGCTCACCTACCCATACACACCTGAATGAACGTATAATGCTTAGGCAAGATGGCGTCTTCGCGATCTGACCACTCCACCTCAACCACAATATCGACATCGCCCTCCTCCCCAGCAGCCGCCGGCGGCCCACCTTCGTCATCCCGACTCATCTGCCCTTCTCGCTTGCCACTGCCGCCTATATCCCTACCAAATACCTCGTCCGTTTCTCTTGTGTCAAGCACCGCCCAGGGGCGACCCATCCCTTTGAGCGATGCCAACGCCGCTGATGGCACTACCGCCCTCAGAGAGCTCAGCCGTTCCCAGCCTATCGTTCGCCACCCGCACACTAAGACCTCCGGCCCGCCCCCGAGTACAGCTGGCACCACCACTGGCACAACCACCGGTACCTATTCTCAGCCCGTCTTAGTACGCACATACTCTGGGCCTCTCTCCTCGTCCACACGAGTCCGCTCTGGTTCTCGAAGAGATGCCATAGCCGGTGTTCAAGGGAAGTCTAAAGCCCCCGCTCCCAATGGCCGCCCTTCCGGCCGTCGCGGTTTCGGCGTGACTCTCATCCGCCCACTTCTGAACAAGAAACCATCGCTCGGAGACGATGCAAAGCTCCCACCACTCGAGGCCTTTAGCTTCAAGAATATAATGGCAGAGATAGAGCAAGATATCGGTGCTGATTTGGATCGCATTGCGGATATATGTGCGCGGTCGCGGTACTCTTTGAGCAACCAGTATGAAATTCATGTAGCTCCTCACGGTTCTGGCACTAGCTTCGCACCAGGAGGGGTGGCCGTAGTGTCTGTCGATCCACCAACTCATGATAATAGCGGCCCTACTCTGCAAGCTATATCCATCGACGAGGAGCATAGTGGAGTCAACAACGGAAGGGGGGTTCTGGTTCGGCGGAGGAGCGCGGCATACGGCACACTGGAGACCATCATCAGCTCCAGCCGGTCTTCGGATGAAGACAGAAGTAAGAGGAAGTCAGCCGCCGAGATCGCGGCTCAAGTACGCGGCCGTGTCCCGCACTCAAGTCCAGAAGGTAGCGGGAGTACTCACAACGCTAAGACCGGAGCCAGTAGCGAACTCTATGGCAAGCGAACAGGTCAGTCTTCAAAAACACGGCCTGCTCTAGCAGTAGCTATCTTTGCCCCTCGAACGACGAAGAGGGATCTGGTAGGGGAACCTGCTACCCCTGAGACATCTCGTAACCATCTTGTTAGCACAACCGCGGCCGAAGGGGCGGCCCCGGAGGATAATGGCATTGGGTTTCTTGGGAAAGAGCGGGTTTCGGTTTCTGTGGTAAGTTCCGGCTCCTCTCCTTATGCTGTCTTCATTTTTGATTTGATTGCATTGCCATGCATGCACCGTACTGTGAAAGGCGCTATATGTAGGCATATTGACCTTGCCACAGTCTAATTCGGTAGCTGCTGCTGCCATTACGGCCCCGGAAGATCCGAGAGACCAACACAGGCTTTTGGGCAGTTTTAGATTCGGTATTTCCTGGAAAGGGCCATCCTCAACGAATGTCAATTCAACACCACAGAGGCCAGATAGGATTAAGAGTTACGCGGAGGGCACCTTGCGTCAGTTATTGAGGATCTCCGAGCCATCTGGTAGTCGAGGAGGAAAGTCCACCAGTCAAGAAGGTGGGCTGGCAGGATAACATGCGTTGTTGCTGATGTTGAACTAACTCAAACTTTCATATACAACACATAGCCCTAGGAAATTCTGCACCAACTTCTGTAACACAACCTACCTGCTTCTAGAGGAAATACAGTATACTATCGCGGGCGTGATCACGTTTAAGCCGTAATGAGTCACAGTCCGGGTCCATTACCTGTGCCTGTGGGCTTTACAGGTAGTAGTCCTGATGATCGCAATATTTCCAGCCTCGAACCTACCCCAAATTTGCGGAAGAATAACTATACGCGAGACTTTATAGAATTAGTCAAGGTTTTGAGATTTCCAGCCTTCACCCCGTATTCATTATGTCGTGTCAGCTGAGTGTTCAGAAATCGATACGATATTTTTTCCGTGTTGCCACTAGGACGATTAACCACATACACCCATATGCGTGTACATACATATAAGAACATAATGTTGATAGACCACAGTGGCTATCAGTTCCCATTCCACCAGAAGCTCGTTGGCGTTACGCGGTATAACACAGAGGGGCATGTTCTCATCTAAGCTCTTCTAGTCATACTCGATGCGTCTTGGTAAGCTTTACGGAGATCAGCATAATTGTGTGCTATCTATCATAAGCGATAACTAGGAAACTGATGAGCAAATGTTTGGGCTATATTAATGATTATGGTGCCAGACAAGTTAACTTGGTTGATTCCTATATCCCGGGAGATAAAGGTTACAAGGATAACATGCGAGGCAGTCCTTGTGATCATTGTTTGTAAGGATATAGGACCAATCTGAACAAATACAGCCTGGTTACATTACCTATGCATATACGATGTTCAGCTGTGAACTAGCCCAGCAGCATTCCCAAATTATACCCAAGGCGCACATTAACTTAGAATTGAAACACAAACCACACAGGCCGCTTCGATAGCGTAGGTCGGAGATGGATCGGCTAGCGTTCACATATTTCACTCGGCAAGACATGCCAAAGATGATACTGACAGCAATCCAACATACTATTGCCAGATACCACGGGTGAGACCATGACTCAAGCTATATGATGCTGTTTGCTGAAAATGATCTTAGGATATCTCACCCCGTTTGGTCCTCGCCAATACCTGCATTCTCACGTTGCATGGCTCCTGCGACTAATATGGGAAATTGATATTTACACTAGAGCATCCTCATTAAGTGAGGGAAAGCTCAAGCACAGCTGCCAAGGCGCTCTCAATCCCCGCAAGCTGAATCTGTGATCCATGGTAAAACCAATCTGTGATGAGAATAACAGCGACAAAGAATATTGCGAGTGCCCAATGATGGAACTCTGGCAAGTGCCTTCCTCGGGCTCTCAGGGTGTAATTAATTCTGAACCCGACTATTGAGTTATGGCAGCTGAAATGCCCACTTACAGACACGTTTCCACTCCAGCCAGGCTGCCAGCGTTCAATATAGACGCAGATCTTACCCTGACCGGTATCTCATTGAGGTTTCCCATTAGGTGTGGCAAGCGGGAGACATGAGCTGCTCATCTCAAGCCATGCTCTTGGTTGGAGTGGTCGCTTCATACGAACACGAGTAATTCAACGTATGTCTACGGGGTCACTGGTGTATATAAAGGCAGAAGGGAGTATGCTCACACACCATGATCATTGATCATCAACATTTAAGTATCCTTGAGCACTTGCCTATATCGCCTGTTTGACTTGATAACCATTCATCATCTTTTTCTCCTTCAGTTATGATCTGCTCTACCTACTGTCTGGGCCTCCTCTCGCTGGTCACCGGGGCCGTATCGTCTATTCTCCCATGGAATCCCTCCCCCAGCTACCCGACATATCCGTCATACCCATCTGACCCGGATACTTGCCAAAGCTGCCCAAAGCCCAAGCGCTGTTCCAGCATTGGTTGGGACTGGGCTTATTATCCAAACCCCCTTACCAACAGTGGCGAGAACTATCCCAACTTCAGGGCTGATGTTTTCAAGGCCCAGACCCCGGCTTACACTGGTGAAACCCCTGTGATCGGTCGGGCTTCAGCATTCGGCACCACGATCTACAATTCCTCTACCACACTCAACAGTGCATACTTTGTGCTCAATCAACACGCTTACCTCTGGGCGTGCGAGGCTGGCACTTGGCAATTCGACATCTCTGGCGTGGACGACCTTGTGCTGGCCTGGGTTGGTGACCTGGCATACTCTGGGTGGACGGACGACAACGCAAGTGGGCGGGCGGTCTGGACGTTTCAAGGCACTGCGTCGCACACTGGCTCTGCTAGCTTCACGGCTGAGCTTCCGGGATCATCTTTCGTACCTGTCCGTTTTCTCTTTGCTAATGCGCAGGGGGGTGGTGCATTCAAGGTCACGATCACAAGCCCCAGCGGTGTCATTATCCACCAAACAGGAAGGGATACAAACAATGGTTGGCTTGTCAGAGACTGTGGGGTTAGAGCCCCGGGGTTCGCTAGCTTTGGGCAGGAAGATTAATGTAGTTAGATTTAATAGTATTATTATTCAAGGTGAATAATTGTCACGGGTAGGTTGAATCTCAAAGGTCAGGTACAATGTTATAAGTCTCTTCATGTCAGAATAGGCGAGCCAGTTGATTGGAGGTTCAAAAGTGTATATATTGTTGCTAAGCAAATTCTGCTCTGCCCCTAAGGCATATACTAATAATTTTATAGGGTAAATTCTCGGAGTTAAAGTTAATTTAGCTTAGTTATATCTTTAATCTTAACCTTTATAAAAAACTTATTATAATTAAATATTAAATTAATATTTTAACGCATCTCCCACTTGACCTGGCCACCCAATTGAGCTGGCCACCCCCTTAATCTATATAAAAATCCAATGTTTCAATTTAGGATAACTTAACCAATATTGGTCCTACAATTTAATAATTAGCACCATTAGATCCGTTATTTAATAAGAAATCCGGCGATATTTTTTACTATTTTTTATAAAATTTATTGAGCGAGATATTAAGCAATACGCTAAAAGGGCGCTAGGCAAGGTTTATTTTAACGCTTACTTTAGCGTATTGCTTAATAACTCTACGAATGTAAGTCGTATAAATCAATGGATGGTACCGTTAAATAGCTCTTTTTCTTACAAATCTAATGGTATATTTTATTATTTTATACGATTAGTATTCGTAGAGTTATTAAATTATTACGTGATTAGTGCACCGACGTTATTTATATGGGCTAGGGGGGTGGCCAGGTCAATTGGGTGGCCAGGTCAAGTGGGAGATGCGTTATAATTAAAAGGATTTATTTATAATATATATATTATATTATAATATCCTAAGGTCCCTAAAGTATATATACTTTATATATATTATATACCCTTCCTATATATACTTTAAAGGAGATTCTTCCCTTCTTTAAGCTTTAATTTTATTAAATACCTATTATAAAACTAAAAAGACTTATAATATTATACTTAACCTTTAAAATTTAACCTATTTATAATAATTTTAAAGCTTTTCTTTAAAGTTATTTATAATATTATTAATTATAATATATTTATATATAAATAAATAATTAAAGCTAATATTCTTTTAAGAAATTTAAATTAAGGAAAGTTTTTAATAATAGCTTTAAAATAAAGTTAATATAATTTATCTTTAAAAAAATAATAAACTTAAAATTAATTATTAAAATCTTTTAATAACTTTAATTTAATAAATAAAGCTAATATTTAATTATTATAATAAATAAACATTTAACTTTTAATTAAAATTATAAAGCTAAAAAAATAACTTTTTAAAGGAAAGAAGGTTATTTAAAGTTTAAAGGTAACCTATATTCCTTTTAAATTATATTTAAATAAAAAAAAAAGAAACTTAAAAATATTAAGTTTAAATAAATTAAAGCATTATTTTAACTTTAATAATTTATAAACCTTTAATAATTAATAATACTATTAAGATTAAAAAAAGAATAATCTTAATAATAATAATCCTTTATTATTTAGCTTTAATATAAAGTATAGTTAAAATAATTATATATATTATTATAAATACTATTCCTTTAAAGAAGTTAATTTAAGTTAACTTTTTAAGTTTAATTATAACCCTTTTAATATAAAGTTTACTTATTTAAAATAGTTAAAATAAATAAAAGAATTAAAAATTATATTTTATAAAGCTAATTATAAGTTTAAAACTAATACCTTTAAAATTTTTTATATATATAATAAAATAAATAAAAATTATAAAAAGATATATTAAATTATAAAAAAAAAGTTTAAATATATAAAAAAAAAAAAAAAAATCTAATTAAAATATATTTTTAAATTAAATTAAAACTTTATTATATTAATTATTCTTCCTATAGGTTAATATTAATATATAATTTAAAAGAGCTATATAATATATTAATTAAAACTTTAAACTTTTTAATTAATATTTAATTAATATTAAAAGTTAAAATTCAAAATAAAGTAAAGGTAAAAAAGCTTTATTATATTATTAAAAATTAAATGGACCCCTATAAAAAGAATTAATAAATTTCTATAACCTTTTATTAAAAATTAAGATGAAAATAATTAATATAATATAATAATATTAAAAATTAATAAATAAGGATTAATAGGTTAATTATAAAAGAAAAAAGTTTAAATTAAAAAATATTTAAATTAATAATAAATTATTTATAAATATAAGTTAAGATTAAAATAATAATTAAATTATTAATAATAATAATTATAAAAATAAATATAAAGGATATAATAATAATAATTATAATAATAATTATAATAATAATTTTAATTATAATTATATTAATAGTTATAAAAGTAATAATAATAATAATTATAGCTATTAAAAAAAATAATAGTAATAGTTATTATTAATATTTTTAAAGTTTTAATTATTAAAAAAACTGTTAATTTAATAACTTTATTTTAAAAAGCTGCTCTCTTTTTAAAGCTTTTTTAAATTATTTATAAAGTAATAATAAAAATAAATTAAATTAAAAAAATTATAAAAAAGTAGTTTATTTTAATTATAATTAATTAAGCTATATTATTTTAAATTATATTTAATTTAAATAAAATTAAAACCTTAATTATATAAATTAAGGTTAATAATTAATTAAACTAAAGTAATTAAATAAGTAATTAAATTAATCTTTAATTACTTACAGCCTTAACTAAGATTAAATTAATCACTTATAGCCGTGATTAAGACTAATTTAGTCACTTATAAATAATCACCTTAAATAATTAATATAAAATCCAATTTTCAACCTTTTTTTATTCTGTTTAATTATTAAAATACTGCTTAAAAAGGCAGTTATTATCATATATTAACCTTTTAAAACGGACTTAAATTGGATTTTTAACAGCCTTAACTAAAGTTTTAATCTAATTAAGTAACTAATTTAATCATTCACTTTAACTAAAACTAATCATATATAATTTAACTAAATTAATTACTCACAGCCTTAATTAAAACTAATTTAATCACTTAAATCCATAATTAAAACTAAGATTAATTTAATTACTTATAATTAAGATTAAGATTAAATGATTAAATTATTAACCTTAATATAAATTATATAATATAAAAATAAACTATTTAAAAAGTTTAAATAAATAAAAAGTAAAATAAAGTTAAAATTAAATAATAATTATTATATTATTCTTATATTCCCCTTTTATTAAAATACTATAATTTTTTAAAATATAATAAATAATTAAAAAATAAATTAAAAGTATAATACCTTTTAAGTTAATAAAAAGCATTAAATTAAATTTACCCTTATATATACCTATTATATATTATTTTTATACCCTTTATATAATTTATATATTTAATTTAAAAAAACTACCTTTATAAACTTATATTAACCTAAATTCTTATATTAAATATAATTATATTAACCTTATTTTTATACTTTATTATAAATTAAAAAAGGTTTCTTTTTAAACCCCTTTATTATAATATATTATAAATAATAGTTTTTTATTATATAAGGCCTATTAAATTACTTATAAATTAATTAATAATTATAATATTATTTATAAATTTAAATATATATATATAACTATTAATTATAATTATTATTTAAAGGGTAATCCTATTTCATTATTTTAAATTATTTAAAAGAATTAAGGAATTATATTAAATTTAAATATAAATTATTAATTTTTTAAACTTAAAGCTTATTATTTTAAAATATTTACCTTATATTAATTTATAAAACTTATAAAAATAAACTATATTATTAAATAATTATCCAATTTTTAAAATTAATTTAATTAAAAGAATTAAAATTATATAACGCATCTCCCACTTAACCTAGCCACCCAATTGAGCTAGCCACCCCCTTAACCTATATAAAATCCTATTATTTTAATTTATAATAACTTTATGAATATTAACCGTACGATTTAATAATTGGTGCCTTTAAATCCATTAGTTAAAGGGGAATCCAGTGGTATTTTTTACTATTTTTTACAAAATTTATTAAGCGAAATATTAAGCAATACGCTAAAAGAGCATTAAGTAAGGATTATTTTAACGCTTACTTTAGCGTATTGTTTAATAATTCCGCGAATAAAAGTCGTATAAACTAAAGAAAAGTACCATTAAATAGCTTTCTTTATTATAAATCTAATAGTATATTTTATTATTTTATACAACTAATATTCGTAGAGTTATTAAATTATTACATAATTAGCATACCGATGTTATTTATATAGGCTAGGGGGGTAGCCAGCTTAATTGGGTAGCCAGGTCAAGTAGGAGATGCGTTATATTTTATATAAAATTTAATAATATTTTATAAAAGTTTTATAACTTTATTAATTTCTTTAATATAAATAAAGCTAATATACTTCTTTATTTAAAAAAAAGTAATTTAATTATTAAACTTAAAAAAAATACTATAATTCCTTATTACTTTATATATCCTTTAATATAAAATAAATTTAAAAAGCTATAAAAATAATTAAATAAAATATTAAAAATTAAAAAAATTAAAAAATTAATTAATTTAATTAAAATATTTATCCTTTTTATTTTTTAAAAAAATAAAAGTTTATATTTATATATAAATTATAAAGGATTTAATTATATTTTATATAAAAATTATTATACTTTACCCTTTATTTTAAAGCTATTAAATAAGATTTTTTAAATAAAAATATTTATAAAAGTTAATTTAAAAGATACCTATTATTATATTTATATTTAAAAAGGGAATAAATAAAAAATAGCTTTTTATATTTATTATAACTATTATAAATTTTTAATTATACTTATAAGTTTATTAAATACTTTTACTACCTTTTAAAACTATATATAAAATATATTTAATAATATTTTAAATATTTTTTATATTATTTATTTCAGGGTTAATAATTTAATCACTTAGTCTTAGTTTTAATTATAAATGATTAAATTAGTCTTAATCTTAATCACTGGTTTAAATGATTAAATTAATCTTAGTTAAGGCTATAAATGATTAATTTAGTTAAGTTATATATAATT